GTTATACGCAAAGAAGTTTAATTTATTCAACGCAACATCTCAAACACTTATAATTTATAAGTGTTGATTAACTTTTATTTATATATATTAACATTTTTTAAAATTATTTATACGTTCGAGTTTAAAAAAAAAATAACTTAAACCGTTTCTTGAAAGAATAATAGAAGTCATTAATTATGTTTCACAGAACGCCGCTGCAGTATTGCTGCGAAATCGGCATTTTTTTAATCAAAATTCTTAAGAAATAGTCAATCGAAAACAAATGGAATGTTTTGTAACTTAAAAGATTTTTAAAGGCCTTATAGAAACTCATATTTTAATTTATATAACCATAGAATAATCCCGTAAACTAAATTATACAAAAATTGCGAGCAATCACTTCAATTCAGTCAAAAAATACGAAAAAGTGTATTTAAAAAACATTCGTTTTGAATTTCTTATTACAACTATATCAATTTCTTAAATACTTGAAAGAAGCAAACAATGCTAAAATTTTCCAACGCCTTCGTAATTTCTAAGTTATGTTAATTAAGAAAATGGATCCTAAAGAATCACCCTTAAAATAACTTCAAGAGTAATATTCCGATTTCACTAAAAGTAACTTAACACAAATAACTTGAAAGAATTGGGCTACATCCCAAAAGTGTAAATTCAACGAAAAATATTTTTTTTATAAAATACAAACATTTGTTAATTTACAAATACTTATTTAAATGCAAATTACTTTCGAATTCTGAAAAACTGTTTTCATTTTTAGAAAATTATGCAAATGAGAACTGTAAATGGATCTGTTGAGATTGTAAAACAATATTTTAACACCTCTACTCTCTCAAACACCGGCCTAATTTCTTTATCTCCTTTTATTTACGATACTTTTTCCAAGGTCTAAGAGACCCTTAGAATAAGTTCTCCGAATTTCGGTAAATTGTTGTCAGTAGTCGAAATATTCGAATCAAATTTAGTTTAAACAAACTATTCTGGTATTTTCCATTGTCACACATTTAGAAAAACTCGTTACTTAGTCATCTATACACAGGAGGTATAAGTAACGAGGCTACAATTCTCTAGAGAATTTTCGAGTAAATCTTGATATACGATGAAAGTATGTATGTTGGGCGAACTTTCTTTACCTTCCAGTAAGTTGTTTCACTACCTAATGTGGGATGAACGCTGAGCAGGGGATATGATCATGTTTTACATGATATAAATTGTAATACATGAAATTTTCATTTATCATATAACACGTATTAATTTCAGAAACATCTGATAGAAACTTAATTTTCGTTAACTCTACAACTTGAAGAATCTATCACCAAAAACGTCTCATAAATTCCAACTTAGTATTACGTTAAACTCATTTTTGGGACCTTTATAATCCGGCTTCGTAATTTAATTCTGTTTAACCGGTAACCTCCTTGGGGAGTCATTTGGATTAACAAAGTCTCCCTCAGTTCCTATGAGTATTTTCTGTGTAAAGTTATTATAATTTTACTAGCTTTCACCCGCGACTATCTCCGCGTGGAATTAAATAAACAACAAAAGTGTGTAGCCTATGTGTTATTTCAAACTATCATCTACATCTATGCAAAATTTCATCGAAATCCGCTCAGCTATTTAGGCTACAAACTCTAACGAACAAACATCCATCCATCCAAACTTTCGTATTTATAATATGAAGCATGATGTCACAAAGCAGTTACAAAATTCAACAAAATAAATAACTTTTTATTCTAATCATTCAAATTAAACGTAAAATTAAAAATAATTCCTTTCATTAAAAACAACCTAAATTATATTATTTCAAAAGGGCAGGTTGTAACTTAAATCCAGGCATAGGCGGTGGTTCCAATAAGGTTGCTTGACCACAACACGGCTCAGCACAGAATCTTCCGCTCCTGTTAAAAACAAATAATTATGTCAAATACCTTATGAAGAGAATATTTGACTACAAAATAAATAATACTTACTGAGGACCTTGTGGCGGTATACATCCGGCTTTAAGCATATTAATTATATCATAAACATTTTCTAAAGTTAAATCTTCCTGAAAATAAAAACTGATGTATCAATCAGACATTTTATATTTTGTAAGAATGTTCATCTATCTTGCATTTATTGATACAAAATCAAAGACCGCGTGTTCGTAATTACCTATTCGTAGACTCTGAGGTCACATCTGCTTAATTGAAACAAATTTAGCTTACGTAATAATCATCGTTGACCACCATTACTGGAGCATTAGCACATGCTCCTTGACACTGGACAGTGTCTACTCCAAAAACACCGTCTTTAGACATTTCACCAGTTTTACATTTCGTAGCCACCTCTACAGCTTGCAAGATAACGTCTGATCCGCGAATCATACATGGTGTAGTTACGCAAACTTTAACGTTAAATTTTCCTCTATCGCGCCTGCAAAATACACACTTTATAACAAAGATTCTCAACAAACTTTCTTTACCTTTGAACTATGCATTCATACCTCTTACACATCGTATAGAAAGTTGCAAATTCATAAACTCTCATTCGTGGTATTGATAGAATCTCTGCTACTTTATGCATAGCTGATATCGGGATCCAGCCAATTTGTCTTTGAACCAAATCTAATGCAGCTCCTAACGCCGACCGCTGCGCCCCTTCCGGATAATTTTGGATCATTGCACATAAGCGCTGAAACGTAAAACATTATGAGAATAAACTGAGACTTATTTGTAGGTAACGAATATTAAATGGTTCTCTTGTTTCTTCAAGCATTCTATTGACATTCCTATCCCATAACCTGGTAGTTTACAATTGATAGAATAAAACGACATTAACAGTTGGGATCTTATTTCTTGTTCCATAGCTTTCTTGTATACTAAAAAAGTATCATCATCATCATCATCAACTTGCCCTCATCCCTTATGGGGGGTCGGCACAGTATGTGCTGCTCTTCCATACATCTCTATCAGCCGTCATATCTGAAACCACTCCTTTCTTAAGCATATCCTCTTTCACACAATCCATCAATACTTTCTTCAGTCTTCCTCTTCCTTTTTAGCCATTTACATTAATTCTTACTAAAAAGTATAACTATTATAAAATATATCAGAACTTACATTTAAATTGGCTTCACTAAATTCGAAAGGGGTTTTCGGATTGTTTTCGGGACTGTCTCTATGCACAACAAGCTCCTCGCTGCGGAGCTGCTTTGAAGTTGAGACGTTTCTTAGTAGACATCGCAGCTGTAAGTAAATTTCTTGTTGTATACAATTTTTGATAGAATATAAACTAACCTCATTTTAATAACAAACGTACATTAAGTGCAGATCTTAATTTGTATAACATTAACATTTCGGAAATACTTTTATAGTTTTGTGAACTGTGTTAAAAAATGTTACGCCCAAATCGACAGCTATAAATGACAGATTTTGTCATTTGTGTCATTATCTGTGTTAAAAGGTTTTATTAATGCCTTTTTTAATTAGTTAAAAATCAAAACGTATCTGATGTTGAAAAAGTTAACTAATGGTTGCCCGCAGAATATTTGTAGGCACCCCCTTGTACCAACAGAGATCGCGTCAAGCATTCGTTTACTTACTACCGTCAGTTAACATATGCTGTCATGAGGTAATCGGAAAAGCTTCTTCGCACGAGCAATATAACCTAAAACGGTCTGTTTAGTTTACAAAAATATTAGTTACAAATTAACAGCACATACATACCGAGAATTGTATTATTTACCCCGTTCCCGTGCGGCTTCATTCGCATGAAATTATAAAAACTTCATTTTATTATTAACATTTGTCAAACTCTCAATTGCAAATGTCAAAATTACCGTTACCACAGTAACATTGCTTCAGTAATGTTGGCAGCTTGTAGTTTATGGTCCCTTTCCACATGTAGTATTTTTTCCAATTTATTTACCCCCTAAGTTTAATACCGTGTAAATATATAGCCCAAAGCGTGATGTAAGTGTAGGGCTTTTTATTAAAAAAAGAATTATTCATAAATATGCTGTAATTGCTGACATCTTAGGCAACAAAGAACTGTGTGTTTACGCTTTATTATATTAGCATAGATCGTAGGCCAATAGCCAATAGTGCCTATAAATTATAAAAGACGTAAAGTTTCAATCTTAGATAAGTATGATTGTTATAAGTTGTAATGTGTTTACCCGTGCCGCAATAATGTAGACTTAGGCGCAGTTACCTGTAGAAGATAAGACACGTGCTCCAACCAACTTGTGAAGTAATGTACGCAGTGATTTATCGTGTGCTTACATAGTTTGCTCTCATTCCGCTTAAACTTAAACTTAAAATCTTTCAGATTTTTACATAAGATGGTCCACCGATTTATTTATTAAGTCGTATATTAAAATGTCTTTTAATTTAATAAATATTATGAAATTATTAAATCAAACTACAGGATGCGCAGTAGTGACATGCAATAGGTGACAACCCATTAACTTTAAAAAAATATCATAATGTACCCCAATATCTTACTAATCTTACTAATATAAATGCGAAAGTTTACGAGTAGATGGATGAATGGAAGGATGTTTGTAAGAGTTTGTAGCCCAAACGGCTGAACGGATCTCGATGAAATTTGGCACAGATGTAGAGGATAGTCTGGAAGAACACATAGGCTACTCACTTTTGTTTTTCTTTTATTCCACGCGGACGGAGTCGCGGGCGAAAGCTAGTTTTGTATAAAATGAATGATTTTTGGTCGTAATTAAGAACATTTTTAATTATTTTTATAATTAAAAATAAAAAATACATGTTTTGAGACATCCTATATGTCATGCATTATTTGTCATATTAATTGTAATATTAATTGAAGTATTTCGTAAGATAGTGTAATAGAAAATTCTCAGCATGTACTCAATATAACTTAGAAAGGCCAAGTAATAACGCATCAGTACAAAGCTCGAGGTGCTTCGAACTGTATGCATAAATTTTATAAGTTTAGTAATTAAAGGATACTTAAGATATCGGTACAGAACGTAAATTATTTTGATCTGTTACTTTTTATTTTATGTTAATTACATAGTGACACTACGACGTGGCAATTTATATTCTGAATACTATAAATATATCGAAAGCATATTTTTACCTAGGAAAATGTGATTAAATAGGAATTAGGATATCTTTTTTTACCACAATTTAAGGATATCTTGATTCTGTTATTACCTCTTTCTTTTATATAATACATTTTATTTTTTTAATAATTCAGAATGATGCAAAGAAATATATAAAATACAAAACTACAAAACAGCAAACAGTTTAATTGTGAATATTCTATACTAGCAAACAAATTTACTGCAAGAACAGAATTAATTTGGTGAGACAATAGTACTTACTGTCTACCGCTAGATGGCGTCTTAAGAAAAGCTGTATTTGTAAACGTATATTTAAATAAAAAGGCATTGGAAAATGAGCAAGCTGAGTCTGCTTTGAAGTTAAGTGCACCTTTGATGTGCAAAACAGCTAACCCTCGCATCTTAGAAAAAAACGCACCCTAGAGCAATAGTACATTCCTTGATAACATATTCCGTGTGTAGACTGCGTACGTAATTGTGACTCAAAACAACTTATAATGAAGCTCTTTGAATTAATACTGATTACCTAAATTGAATAGTTAAAACCTACTCTCTCTAAATCTACAAATTCATTTTCATTTTTAGGATACCACAAAAGTAGATTTTTCCCAATGTGATATTACCGAGGTTTATTTTAAGATAACGTGTCGCTGAGAAAATTTTTTGTATACTTAAATTACAATACATTAATGTCCCTTATGTTAAAAAAATGTGAAGTCATATTAGCAATGATAAATCACACGTTGTTATTTCATTACAGCACATGACTTTTATTTTTTGAGCACGTGCGTGTAAAGGAACGACTTTGAAAAGCCTGTGATGTTTTTTGTTGCTGGTTTAAAATAGCCTCTCTTTTGTCTTGTTCTTATATAATATTACTAGCTTTCGCCCGAGACTCCGTTCGCGTGGAATTTAAAAATACAAAACAGAGTAGCATATGTGTTCTTCCAGTCTATCCTCTACGGCTATGCCAAATTTCATCGAAATCCGTTCAGCCGTTTAGGCTACAAACTCCAACAAATATCCATCCATCCATCTATACTTTCGCATTTATAATATTAGTATGATTTTATTTGGCGTCATTAAAATTAACATACGCTCGTATATCAATTTTCCATTGAGTACTTCTGAGTATTTTTATTCGGTGTCAACGAATTATAAGCAGTACTAAAAAAAATCCATTGCCTAATAAACCATTTAATCAAAAATTTCATAACGATTTTATATCAAGAAAACTTCGGTATTATGAATTCTTGAAAGCAATTTATCGACATAAAAATTATTTGATAAAATCCTCTTCAAGCTCACGTCGGCCGCACTTGTTCTACTTAAATTATGACTGTAACAAGCCCGTTTTTGTTTTCAAGATTAACGACAGAGCTATTGTATAAAAATTATGTTCTTGGATCACATCTCGTTCGTTTTTGTCTTCGGTTTGCGCTTTTGTTTAAAAAATTAATTATCATTTTTCAAGTTTTGTATTCGTTGGTAAATGAAGGCACACTTCTATCAAGAATATCATATAACAATACGTCTATTGCACGTAGCTTTCGCCTGCGATTATGTCCGCGTAGAAATAAAAAATAAAGTAGCCTTCGTGTATTTGTAGGCTATCCTCTACATCTACGTTAAATTTCATCGAGATTCTTCCAGCAGTTACAGCTGCAAACTCTAACAATCATCTAAAGATGTAAACCGTGTCGCCACAATAAAATTTAAATCTTAGTTTAATTTTAAAACTTACATTTTATGTAGCCAAGATAAAATAAAACATCTTATATGACCGAGATTGCAACAGCCGTTTGCAATAAAGATATACCGTATGACTTTTTCGTGACCGGAGAATCGATAGATTTATTCTTTTCTGTGTTTTATTCCAATTTGTCTCCGAGTTGCCATCCTGGAACCATTCCTTTCTTTTAATATTTTATTCAGACAAAGCTTTGTTTTAGAAAGATATTAAAACAAAATCGCATCAAGATTATAAACCTAACCCAAAATTAGGTAAGCGGTCTATTCTACGGTCGATTACATTGGGTTATTAGTTGGATTTTATGTAAAAAATTACTATAAGAGTACCCTAATGTCAAGAATGTATAAATCTGAAACCTACCTTTACAACACTAAAACATAATTTAACTTGCAGCACTATAAAATTAGACGTCTTGATTAAATTAAACGCTGAGTGGTTTTGAGAGAAGATTTAATGAACACTTTACTACATTAAGTTGCAACGTATTACGAGAAGTTAGTTAACTTTTACAACTAAACTATATTGTAAAAAATTAATCGAGTGCGGAATATTTCGTGCTCTTGTAAATAAATTTATTTAATGTATAAAAACAGTGTTGCAATTACATAAAACAGTCTTGATAGTACAAAAGATAACTGTACTTTTAGTCAGTAAATCTGATTATTTTTGTACTATTAAAGTATGATAACAGATGTAACAGATTATTGCAACATCTACTAAATGTGGCGATTGTCGTTTGTTATAATTTTGTGACATTATAATATCTATGATTGACTATGACCTAGTCACAACTTAGAGTAGATTTTGAGCCTCTTAGTGAGGTGATGATGATAGCAGCTATCGCAGTAGTTTTGAAAGACTTGTGCAAAAAAAAGCCTAAGTAAAATAACAAAGGGAATGCAATTCTATGAACTAGTTTAAACGCATTAACCACAAATTTTAAAAGCTTTAAGTTGGTGTAACTGTAATTGTAATTGTTAGTCTTTTGTTTTTTATACAAAATTATTTCTATTTCTAAAAGCACTATTAGGTATCAAATTGATGCTATCAATACATCTCGAAAGTGATAATTTCTCTAGAGTTTTCATTATCTTAGTTAAGCATTGGTACCCGATGTCAAGTGTAGATTGCGATAAATTGCGGAGTTCGTTTAGCGCACTAACTTACTGCAGGTTGAGGGGGAAAGGGTGAATTAAACAATTTATCGTACTCGCTTCAATATACGACATTCCCAAAGCAAGCTATATCCTTGTAATTGACAAATAAATTTTACCTACAATTTTAAACAGAGGAACATTTAATCAAACCTAAATGATCTTTGTAAAAGAAATGAAACGAAGAAATTACACAGATTAAGTTATTTGTGTAATAGTTTACTATTTAACTGTATTTTATGTTGAAAAAAAGATCAGTATCTCAGTTTCCACAAACTTTGTACAAGAAGCTCTTAATTTTAATTCAATTCCAGTCAGTAATCTGATAGCAAAGCCTTAGAGTAACGAGAACGACTTTAGCTGTATTAAAAGTGGAGACAACATTCTATGTAGTTTCAGATTTTGAAATAAATATCATTACATTTA